GGATGACTCAGACAGGACTAGGAAATGGTGTGTTCTGAAAAATCTGTAGAAGAAAATACGAGAAAATGCCCACCAAAAATCGAATACAAAATGATAGAAGAATCGAAAAGTTGACATTCTCTTTGAAACAGAAGCCAGAGCTTGTTACTCATTAGTACCTTCATGTATCCCCCCATCTTACAGGCAAAGGTCTGGCATCCAAGGTGTTCAAAACCATCCCCCAGGTCCCATGCAGCCCAGTTCCTGGCTGTGATCCCTGTGTTCCAGCAACAATGAACTACTTACCCTTCTCTGCACATACCTTCCCCTCTTCCATTTCTCTCTGCTTTTGCATATGTTATCCATGAATGTCGATGGATCCTCTTTTGGCTGGCAAACTCCTCTGCACCCTTTAGGGCCGACTTAAACAGCGCTCCTCTGCGATGCTTTCTCCTGTGTGTTCCCAAAGTGAGTCATGCAGTCATCTGTTATACCACTTTTATGTAGCAGTAGAGCTATTTGCATGTCTTAGTCCCCAGTAGGTTTTGAGCTTCACCAGAGCAGGAACTAGGTCTTGCCATTCCTGTAAGCATCTAATAATTAGGAAGTGCTCCCTACATGCCAGGCATTGGGCTTTCTAAACATATGCACTGTCTCATTTAACCTGCCTCAATCCTATGAGGGAACTTAAGCTAGAAGAAATTGCACTGAAATGTGACAAAGTTGGGATTTGAATTCACCTGCCTGCACTGGGATCTTAACCACAGTTCTATTTTCCTCATCTGAACCATAAAGATGATAATATACTTGATAAGATGATTTTGAAGGTTGAACGCCATGATTTATGTGAAGCACTTAACACAGTACCCAGTGAGCATTCAGTACCATTAGTACTTAACTAACAAAGATGTATACTAGGTCCTTCAGCCAGCAAGGGGCAGAGAAGGCATTTGAACAACTTGGGTCTAACAACAGAGTCATGTTCCTTAACCCTGATGCTCATGGGCCACCCTAAGGAAGCAAGAAAAACACCCCACAGTCACCTTGTCCCTTTAGCAAAGGCTCTTACTCTTTCCATCCAGGGGTCTCTGGGGAAGCTTTAGAAGGTGGATGTGGAGAGCCGCCTCCATCCACCTACTGCTGCAGAACTCGGAAGGGTAACGAGGGGGATGGTTCAGTAGCTTGGCAACTCAGGAGCCCACTCAGAAGACATTAGGATGTTACCAGCACCTCATTAGGCTCTAGCACTAATTGTTTATCTCTCTAAGGAGAAGGAAAGTGTAGCATGGTTGTTCTGAGATTCAGTTGTTGGATCAGCTGGTTCCTTTGCTTGTGTCCTCAGGCAAGTCATTTCTTCACCCAGTATGAGCCTCTTGTAAAAGTTCCTAAAGAGGCGAGTGAGGCCGTGAGTCCCCTGGCTCCCTGAACCTTCAGAAACACAAGCTTTTTTAACACCCCTGGGCAAAAGCCAGTGTTTCAGATAAGCACACCCATGGCTGCTTCATCTGTGAATTATGCTTTCTTAAGGGCTTCACTTTGTTAAGGCAGTCTATATGAATGTATACAATAGCCAATTCCTATACAAATTTTGGTCCAGCAAACCCAAATTTGTATATTTTTCATTGACTGTATAATACAGGAGTTATTTTTAAATATATGCAGAGCTGTTTGTAAATCATCGTAATTGGAGGATAATAATTTAGAAATATTTTAAATTAGTTTCTTGAGTGTGAGGCTGGCTCTAACCACAGCTCTGTCTCTGGTGCTGTGCCGTCTCCCAGGGAGAAACATGCAACATAATTTATTTTAAATAATATTTTTGTTACAAAAACAATTGAACACATTCACTTATCTCTAGAAGAAGAGGTAGTAAGTTCCCCATTTTCCTTATCACCCTGCCTGCCCTCCCTCTACATGCGCACAGTAAGTGAAATAGACTTGCAGTCTTGAAACTAGATCATTGTCAGACTAGTTGCATTCAGCTCCCTGACTTTCAGTTCTTCCTGCAGTTTGAGAGGGCAGAAGATCCTGATTTAGCTTTGCCTTTCCCCTCCCCTCTGCCAAAACAAAGTCAGAATTCCCAGCAACAAGCCCAGTTCACACGTTCAGTTCCATTTCAGTCCCATTTCTCAGAGGCTTTCCCGCTTTTTGGGGTTGTCATTTTCTGACACATCCACATTGCACCCGGGTGTAGCTGGGCTGGGGCTGCAATATGTCTCAGCATTCTGTGTCTGGAATGCTTACCAGGCCCCACAGTCTGGCCTTAGCAGGAAGCCAGGGTTCTGTATGTGTGGGCCTTGTCTATATGCCTGTGTGTGTGTAATTACCCAACCGTGTGTGTTGTTTCACCAGCAATAAAAATCCAGCAGGGAAATGAATGCTAAAATTAGTTTGTTTGTCCTTTGACAAGATCTCCCCAGTTGAAAGAATTTTGTTTATCTAACTGGCTGGGCAGACTTTGCTAAAATCAAAATTAACTGCCTTGCTTAATGGTGCAATAGATTGTATTGTGAAGAGCATCCACTGAGGTCTCCTTGAAAGGACATGTGATCTGGAAAGTCCAGCCTCTCGCAAAGTTATGACATTTTGGTGTAGGTGTTTTTTCCTCCTTGTGCTAGTTGTAGGATGGATGCCCATAACCCATTACTCTACCCTGAGTCACTCTATCTGTTGGAGGGTTGCTGGCTGGATGGATGGATAGATGGATGATGGGTAGATTGGCAGATCGACAGATTAATTTGCTTGCCATATGTCTTAAATGTAAGTTTGTTAATGCTTAAGAGGAAAGAAAACTTGTAATCAGTGTTCTTGCAAAAAAAAATTTGCACAGCCCTATGGCTGTGTCTTTGGGCTTCATTCATTCATGTGTTCATTCATTCAACAAAAACAGTATTTAATAAGCACGTAGTATGTACTAAGCTCATGCATAAGATATAGATTTGAACAAAATAAGAATCTCTGCCTGCAAAGAACTTACTGTTTAGTGTGAAAGACATGCATTGAAGGGTAATTAGACAAATAATTATTTAACTATAGCTGCAATTGTTTTTTATATTTTTATTGAGATTTAAATCGTATATCATAAAATTCACCATTTTATTTATTTATTTTGGGGGATTTCTTTTTTGTTTTGTTTTGTTTTTGTTTTGTTTTGTTTTGTTTTGTTTTGTTTTGTTTTGAGATGGAATCTCACTCTGTCACCCAGGCTCGAGTGCAGTGGCACCATCTCGGCTCACTGCAACCTCCACCTCCTGGGTTCAAGTGATTCTTCTGCTTCAGCCTCCCAAGTAGCTGGGACTACAGGTGCATGCCACCATGCCCAGCTAAAAATTCACTATTTTAAAGCATACAATTTGATGGTTTTTAGTATATTCACAGAGTGGTTTTTAAAATGATAAAGTTGAGTGAAAACTTCAGTCTCTTCTGTTGCATTTTCAGTACAAGCACAAACACTTGGTCTGATTCACGCCAACAGATTTTTCATTATGTTGACATTGTGACCTCAGTGATCATCAATGTCATAAAGGGAGGAGGAGGGAACATTGGAGGTGTTGGATTTAGACACAATAGGTTAGAAGCTTCCTGGGTTCCTCTTACCCATTCTGTAAGATGCTTTTCTCATGAGACAACTCCAGTGAGAATTTTCTTCTCTGCCCCTTACTTGAACTTCCTGGTCTGGGCAATCTTGTTTGCATCTCATAATTCTGTTCTTGAAAAATATATCCCCAAAAGATCCCCAGCTACAGGTAGAAGAAATTCAAGGATTGGGAACCCTCGGGGTCGACTCCATATATGCAAAAGTTAAAATATCAAGTGCAATAAAACTTTCCATGCTCAGCTGACCCTGTTTCAGAAAAATAATGACTCATTAGTCCTCTTACTATATATTACTTGATTTGGAATGTAAAATTCTTGCATTTTCAGATAGCTTGCAGGGCGATCTGATGGGGCCCATAAGGGATTGAAGGAATCCAAGTTTGGTTTCTGGCTCTGCCCAAGTTTTGCTTTGCCTTCCTGTTCTCCTCTGAAGATGAGGGAAATGACACAGCCAGTCTCCTTTATGGGGGCTGTGAGGAAGCCAAGGTAGATATAAGGTACAGCTGCCTTGGACTGAGCTACCTCCTACTAGTGGGTAGGCTTTCAGGAACTTGTCTGGTTGGTAGACAATCAGCCATCTGTACAGAAAGTTCCAGACATCCTCCCTCCCAAGAAAAGTACTGATTTCATCAGAAGACAGCTTTGTAGCATTACCAAAAAAAGAATAAATTAGCATTAGTGTTCTTCACAGAGTTTTGTGACAACCCCCTTAAAACATCAGTATCAAGGGTGAAATTCACTCCATGATCATGACAACCATAATGTCTTCCACTTATATAGTCTTACACAAATTGCAGTGTACTTTCATGTTCCTTATCTCACTAATTCTCATGCCCATGTTGTGATATTCCCACATATCACAGGCTGTGATAGTCCTATAGTTTAGGTGAAAAACTCACCCTTCAGGGAAGTGACTTGCCTGTGATGGCAAAGGTCACTCATCTATCCTCTATCCTTTCTTTCCACCCTCTCAAAGCCTTGCCTGTTTTTTCCACTGCACTGTTCTGTAATATTGCCTATGATTTGCTAATGATTTGTCAGTTCCATTTCCATTACTCAGGTAAAACACCTGCTTGTATAATCGCTGACATTAAAAAGAATGTCATGAATCCATCTGACAGTTAATTTTATTCACTAGTTCCCTTCTGCTTCGTAGGTGCCTGTGAGTTTGGGTTAATTAAGCTGAGTTTGTTCTCTTTTTTTACGTTTTTGTTAGCAAGCTGGTGATCCTATAGGTTGGATCAGCAGCTGAGTTATCCATGGGCTGTGATCAGTGCCAGAACCTCAGGGAATCCTCGGTTACTTCCCCCTTACAGGACTTGGTGGCTGTGCAGGGGGCTGTGCAGGGCTTCTGGATATGAATGCAGGCCTGGAAGCCACTTGCTTTTGACATTCATGTGCATCATCCTCTTCTCCTTTTAAAGATACATGACTGATGGTGGACTTGGCCTCTACACCCGTCGCCTGAACCGGCTCCCTGATGGGATGGCTGTGGTACGGGAGACGCTGCAACGAAATACTTCCCTGGGCCTCGGAGACGCTGACAGGTAAGCTTCCTCCACGTGAGGCTGGTCAGGTGCAGAGGTGATCCCAGGGTGGCCTGAGAAATGAGGGTTATGATATTGGGAGAGTGAATGGAGACTTCTTTAACCCACAGAGAGGAGGGGAGGCCTGGAATCTATACCTGGGGTTAGAAACAGGCACAGTAGGTAGGAAAGGGCTGCCGAAGATTCTTGAGTCCTACTTCTGTGTAGGGTGGTGCTTCTGACAGCAACAACATAGGGAGTTCAGGCTTGGGTGGTTTTTGTTATTGTTTTGCTTGTTGCTACTGTGTCTTTGTCAATTCAGGAGGCCCTAGGGATGTGCTTTACTTCCTCTCTCATTAGCCAGCTTTCTAGGTATTGCACCTTGTGGCACAGAAGGTCTGTGTGCAGAAAGGATCTCTCCTAGCCTTGGCTGAGTAGCCTTCACCAAAAAGCCTCCTGTTGCAAGGTATTAGGAGGCAACGCTTAAGGACATGGGTTTATATACCACATACTAAGTAGTTGCCATCATAGAGGTTGATCAGGCATCACTGCCACTGCTGTCAGAGAAGAAAAGAGCTTCAGAAAGTACTATGATAACAAAAGAGGACTATTTGGCCTCCAAGTTCTAGTCCTTACTCTGACAAACTGATTCTATGACCCAGAGCAACCTATGAAGGTGAGGAGTTTGGACTATATGATTTCTATTATTCCTTCCAGTTCTAATGTGCTATAATTCTGGATTTCAGTGCAGATTTCAAATACCCTTAATGATCTGGCTGTTTAAGGATTTGCTGGAACACTTGACCTCTTTCCACATCTGGGTTGATGAGACGTAACATGGGATTTAGATGCAAGTGGTGTAAAATGGCCATAGACTCTTTGGGTACTAATCCTTTTATGTCAGAAAGCCGAATAGTAGCACAGGAACAGCTTCCTGCTGTTCCCAGGACATGCTTTTCACAAAGAGCTAAGTGAATTCTGTAATTGTCTGGCTTTAGAGAAATAGGGCAGCACACCAAAGAGACAAATACTAAAATCACACCCAGAGATGGAATTTGCCGAAGAAGAATCTTCAAGTTCTCTCAGAGAAGGCTGGGAAACACTGAATGAGTTGTTAGGAACTTGGGGATCTGGCCCAGTCTCTACCACTAACTTGAATATGTCCTCCTTAGCATCCCCCCAGTACCCAGGCTTGTGATTTATATCAGGGATGTCAAAAGGCCTTCCACTAGGGTTTTAGCTCAAGTCAGGTTTTTTCCTGTAATTAACAAAGAAAGGAATGGGTTTGAGAATTCCATAGAAACATGAACCATTTGAGAACTGCTCTTTCTTTTTTCTTCTTTTCTTCCTCTACTTTTTTTTTTTTTTTTTTTTTTTTTGAGACAGTCTCACTCTGTCACCCAGGCTGGAGTGCAGTGGCATGATCCCAGCTTACTGCAACCTCCATCTCCCAGGTTCAAGCAATTCACCTCCCTCAGCCTCCCAAGTAGGTGGGATTACAGGTGTGCACCACTGTGCCCAGCTAATTTTGAATTTTTAGTAGAGATGGGGTTTCACCATGTTGTCCAGGCTGGTCTCGAGCTCTCAAATTCAGGTGATCCACCTGCCTCGGCATCCCAAAGTGCTGGGATTACAGGTGTGAGCCACTGCACCCAGCCTGAGAACTGCTCTTTCTAAGGTGAAACTAAACTCTCTGTAACTAAAATCTTTATAGTAAATAATAACAGGAAAAATCAGTTACTACAACACCCCCACTGGAGATTTCACAATTTGCCAAATTATTTTGCTTATTTGTGTTCTTCTATCCGTTGTTTAGTAAATCTATCTGCATAAAATACAGGCCTCACAAGATACAGTTTTCCTTGTAGCAGAAGAATCTCCACTAGAAAGTTTAATTTAATGCTTCATGTAGGATTAATGGAATTATGATAGATCACAGCTGAGCTTGTTTCTGCTTCTGGAGATGGAGGATCTGAGGGTGGGGTTGAAAAGATGGGTAGCACTTGTTAGGTTGTTTTAGTTCAGCCTGTATAGTTAAACCAGATGGGCAACAATGTCCTTTGGTTCTCTCCAGAATGGAATGCTCCGATATGATCATTTATTTAAAACTGAATGAGGCCGGGCACGGTGGCTCATGCCTGTAATCTCAGCACTTTGAGAGGCCGAGGTGGGCAGATCACCCGAGGTCAGGAGTTTGAGACTAGTCTGGCCCACGTGGTGAAACCCTGTCTCTACTAAAAATACAAAAATTAGCCCATTGTGGTGATGCACACATGTAATCCCAGCTACTCGAGAGGTGGAGGCATGAGAATTGCTTGAACCCAGAGGCGGAGGTTTCAATGAGCCAAGACTGTGCCATTGCAGCCACTGCATTCCAACCTGGGCAACAGAGTGAGACCGTCTCAAAACAAAAAACAAACTGAATGAAAACTGACAAAGTTTTAAAGACAGATCTCAGATGGCTTTTTAAAGACATAGGATTTGTAAATGACTACAAATTTATCCTTGTTTTACATAAGTTCTGGCCTATAGGCAAAGAGATATTTTCCATTATTCTAGAATAGGCTAAATTTTTATAATTTCCAAAGTTAACTGTGAGCTGACCATAGTAATATTTCATCTTTGGCTAAGTTGAAATAGTACATTTGTTTCTATAAAATTCTTCATGTAAATCACAAATTTAGTTTTATGTAGTTACAAAATCTATATTCTAAATGAGTGTTTCCCAAAGTGGGAGGCTATCATGGTGGTATAGGAGATAATTTTAGATGGCAGATAGGAAAATACTCCTTTTTAACAATTACATTTTAATTTTAATATTTTTAAAAAACTTACAACTAGCACATCAAACCTGTGATTTTACAAATGCTGCTTAAGGTAAGGATAGTGTAGACTTGAGACAATTTAATATGAAATATCGAGGAAGAATATTACACAGATGGTGTGTAGTTACATCAGAAAACAAAGGTAGTATGCAAGTGGCTGCAATTTGGATAATACTGTTCTTGTCCCTGTAATTGGAAATATGTTCTTTAAACAACTTAAATTATATAACTGACCCGAATTCTTTCCTTTAAACCTGAAAATCGGAGGTCCTAGAGCTAAGGTTTTTCCAGGAAGTTCTGTGTAAAAAGATAGCCCAGTCCTTTTTCGATTCACACAGAAGCAATAAACCACATGAGTTCTACAAGGGAAAGAGGAAAAGTACTGAGCGGTTAAACCTGATTAGACCTCAGCAAAAGAAAGAAAGGCAGATCACTGTTAGTAACCACAGCCAAGCAGCTGGGGAGAACAGCTCTTCCAGGGAAAGACCTTAAGGGATGCTGGCCTACCAGGCAGACCTTGCCTGTTTGCAGCAGAATGTGACTGGGGTAGCTTCAGGGTTATTAAAAGTAACTGATAGGAATGGATGCCTTCAGAGCCTGGGAGATAGAGACCGTGTCAGTTGGTGAGTCTGGTATGTTACCAGCCAGCTTCTAAGAAAAGAAGATAGTAAAGTGTACCCTTGATCTCTTGTCACTCTTTAGGGCTGCCACCCCTGGGCTCCAGGTTTTTCCTGATAGTGATCAGTGTCTACTTCCAGCAGACTAGAGCCAGGTGGCTGAGAAGAGAGGATCAAAAGGGACAAATGGAGTGGCTTATTACACATCATAGGCTCCAGATAACAGACAGATAAAAGGAGCTTTGGCATGGAGGTCTCCAAACTGGCAGACCGGGAAGAAGAAATATGGGAAGGAGGGCCAAGAGACTAGGCTAACAGACAGTCAAATGGCTTATTGAACTCCTGCCAGTTCCTACATGCACTGCTGTCCTTTCAGAACCCATCAAAAATTCCCAAACTTCAGCAAGTTGAGAGCTTTGAAAGCATAAAGATCAGCTCTGGGAAAGTTTCCACTTCTAAGTTCCTTTCTTGGTGACTGCAAAGTCACACCGTCCTCCTCGTCCTTTCCTTTACCCACCTGTGTTTTAGCACACAACGGGCTGAGCACATAATTCGGGTCAGTTATTTAGATGCTCCTCTTGAATGTCATCCCAAGATCACATAAATGCCATTGACAGCACAAGGAGGACAGAAATCAGGCTTGGTGTGACATTAGATCAGGAGGAGGACTTTGGAACTACTTGGTAACTTTCTTCTAAGCCATTAGAACACTTACTGAACTTCAGTGCTTTTTATTAATTTAGGCAATAAGGCCATATTACTTCAAACCTTCTAAAGACAAAAAAAACAAATGCTGTGTGGTAAAGAGTCAGCCTGAGACTCGAACAAAATGAAAATCGCCCTCCACCTTTGTGCCAGGAAACCAAGCAGAAAAGAGAGACTTTTTTTTCCTTCTTCTTATAAGTTTTTCATTACCCCTCAAATTATGAATGTTTTAAGTATTGAGATTGCTGTTTCAGTGGAAGATTCAGAGTCACTGTACAGACTTTTCAGGCTGCATCCAGGGCCTTGGCACTCAGAGATGTCTCAGTTTCAGCTTGAATTGCAAGGCCTTTCTCAAGGAGAGTCTCATGGTGTGAGAATGTAACTATGCAACCTGGTATTTGAGCAGCCTGCCAAGCTGAGCCCTCCTTCCTTGCTGGGAGTGTCACAAGAACTCCAAGAGCCCAGGACACTGCTTGGCTTTGTGATTCATATGGAACAAAGCAGGCCTTCTGGCACCAAGCAGTGCATTCATGGATTCAGGTCTGATCTGGAGGAAAGAGTTTAATCCAGGCCAGAGGTCCCCAGCTGGCAGATGCAATTGGCGCCCTTACCAGGTGGTAGGTCCCCAACAAGTTATTTCTGAGGCATAGTCCCTACTGAGAGCCACATAAGAGAAGCAGCAAAAACGGGAAGAGACTGCTCCCCTCACGCTTCGTTCTAAGCCTGTGGTAGGTGTAATAATCATCCCCAAAGATGGCCACATTCTAATCTCCAGAATCCGTGGATATGTTAAGTTTCACGCTGAGGGGAATCAAGACTGCCAATCAGCTGGCAGTTAGGGAGATTACTCTGGCTTATTCAGGCAGGTCCAACA